ACCGAATTTAAAATTACGGTCAGTTCGGTTAAATTGTATCGGTCGGTTCAGTTAAATTGCTCACCCCTAACCCAAATGATATGAAGATTATGTGCTATAAAATTGTTTCGTTACTAGTTACATTATTTTCTTGTACTTAGATTTTTTTTAGGTGAGCGCATTATAAGCTCCTTCGAGGGTTTTTTACGGTTCTTTACCTCGTCGCTTTTTTTGAACCGTCAGGATAGACAACGTAGTTTAACTAGGTCGGGGAACCCAATCGTCTATAAATAGGGACATCACAAGCAATATCAATCAAGAAGAAATATATTTTCCCCTAAACTCTCTCTCTCTCTCTCTCTCTCTCTTTCTCCCTCACGTAAACTAGGCTGCCGCTGCAACCTACGGTTGTCATCTCCACCTCGGTGACGCCTAGGGTTCCAAGGGGCGGTATCACAAACATAGTGTTTATGGAGTTCCTTTACTGATCGATTAAAAAGAGTGTCTCTTGTCAAATTAGAAGTTAAGGGGTGGGTTTGAGATGGGTCAGTGGAATAAGGCAGTCATTATGAAGGACATTTTTTGACTTTGGTGGATCCACACGAGATGCTTAAAGACTAACAGTGTTCTTTTGGATTTTATTCCTAAGTCACACTTTGTTACCACTGGCTAGAAATAGATGGTGAATGATAGAAATAGTTTAACTACGACATTGCAAAGTCAAAAATATTCGATTACTTCTTTTGTCTCAAAATAAGGTTCTAAATTGTCTTTGTCTGTCTAAAAAAAGTTTTTATTTTCTTGTTTTAGAAACACCTTTTTGCAGTTCATATTATTTCTCTTTTCTTTATCACTTTTAACCATTAAATTTTATTTTTCTTATCTACATATCAAGTCAAATAAAGAACCTTTTACTAAAGGCTTTGGGGAGTAAATACCATTCTTAATCATTAATGAGAAGCATAAACTGAAACTCAAATATTATTCAATTTTTTTAAGGAAAGATATTATAATAGTATTCCAATTGCTTGTGTGTATGTGTATTATTGATACATCATACACGCATATCTAAAGACGTACTATGATTGCTTCATTTGATTGCATGAATTCCAAATGAATTGAAAGTTCAAATAGACTTCGTCCGAAGGTCCAAAAACAAAGTAGTCTACAAGATTGTCAAAATCTACCCAGTTTGCGTAGCAGTCAAAGCCCCATGCACGAAGCTCCGAACAACATAAAGGAGAGGGCACTCCGCCGGTAATTGTGTGCCCATCTTGTTGCACCAGTTTGAGAATTATTTTCCTGCATTCATCAGAGGGCGGTTGTTTCTTTGAACATTGAGGCAATTTCTGTACTTTATCGAGAACTCCAGGATCTTCTTTAGTAATGTCTCCATTTGTTTTTCCATTTAATAGGAGCAACCCTAGTAAGAAATAATATAGATTCATGTTGATCGAGATTTTGCTTTCTAAATTTAATCTTATGTTGTTTTATTTTCCTTTGTTCAAGCTCGATGAATTTATATAACTTGAGTGACATAGGAAACTACAATTAATAATGCACAAAAGCAATATGTCCAGCTGGAACTTGGAAGACATGCATCAAGCGTACGTTATGGTTCAAAATTTTATGAACCGGTTACAACTCCCATTGTAGCGTACGGCTAAAACTTAATTGTAGTTGTTACCTTAATTACATTGTTCTGACCTGATTCTAAAAACAATTGAGGAATTGGTTTATAAAATGGTCTTCTAACCTGATTCTAAAAAAAATTGAGGAAAAATATTTTATTAAAAAAATAAGAAAATGAGGAATTGGTTTCTTAAACTATTCTACCGGTACGGCCACAACTCTTTACTTCCTCCAAGCAGGTATCTTAATTTGAATTTAAATTAGACGAACTTACTTAAATACTACTAAAACATACTCCCTCCATCCACAAATAAACTTTACATTGCGCGTTACGATGTTTGACTGAAATTATTTTCAAATCATTTTATATGAAAAATGGTGTAGAATTAAAAAATAAAAATTACATATTAAAAAACTATATTAAAAGATCTACAAAACTAGAGGTGACATGACTATATTATTTAATCAAATGGGTGATGAAAATAGGCCAACAAAGTGAATTAAGTTTGACCCTGTGAATAGTGAACGTAAAGTTTATTTGTGGACGGAGGGAGTAATGACTTTCTCTAAAGAGCACTACATATGTTTTTCTTCCCAATGTAGCACTTTTAGTCATTATGCATTAGTCATTATTCAAGTAAATATTCACCATCACAGGACATTATGGACATTATTAAGTGCTATTTATGGAATAAAATAATTTAAGTGCTATTTAAGGAAATGACTTAAGTTTTAGTGCTATTTAGTGCAAATATTTCTTTAAATTAGTGTGGAATGCACTTTGATTTAATATAAGTTGAAATATTGAAAAAAAAACAAATAAAAGAAATCACCTCTAGTGTTACCACATGATTTAAATAATGTGGGAATAGCCTATAAATTAAATTTTGGAAAAAGATAGTACTAGTGAGCAAGGTACGTACAGAAGGTAGAGACCAATAGACAATGTTGTAGGACATACTAGAATCTTAGAATATGTGCACATATGTATAATAATCCGGTTTGGTGCCACCAAATCGTGATTACTGGACAAATAGGGGACGCCCCGCCCTAGTCTAGTGAGATATAGGTTTCATTTACCGATGACTAGACAATCATGTCGTGGAACGATCGTAGAAGATCATTATATAGAAAACTAGATGATTATTTCTTTATAAGAAATAATGCCCGTAAGAGAGTAATTTAACTTATATTTCCTCCATCCCATGAAACCTTTCTCCTTTCTTTTTTTATCCGTCCCACAAAACACTTCTCATTTCTATTAAAAAGTCACTTTTACCCCTTACTTTTCCATACCATAACTTCAAATCAGACTTGATGCTCAAGATTTCTGATATGACAGTTAATATCGATGTTCCATCACACTCCAGGTATAAGGGTTCATCAGCTGCATTCAACACTTCTAATAAAAATAGATCAAACAATGTATTAATATCATCAATGTGTTGATGAGATGATGAGCTCGAAACATCATTAAAATGAGAGGATTTAGGAAAGGGAGTAGGTGCCATAGCATCATACATAACCCGTTGGTCCCATGCTATGTTCTCATAATTACCCCATGCAGAATCTGGCTCTGGAACTAACCGAGAACTTCCAACTGTCTGAGGAAAATATGACGGACTCAATATTTTGCCATGAGAATAATAAGTACAATAATTTTCAATAAAACCTTCGGCGTATAGATGGGAATGCAAATCATCCTCAGTAACGAAGTGCATATTTTTTCATTTCCCACAATTCAAGGACATCGAACTTTCTCTTTATCAAGAAATTCAGTTTGGAATTGGGCACTTCCAAATGTAATAAATTCTTCAACACCATCAATATATTTACGTGTCAAATCGTTTTGGAGTTATGAGTTAATAGTGTCGAATGATGGCACGAGCTTAGGCACAGACAATGTAGAGACAAATTCATTCACGAATTAAACGGACCGTGTGGCTTTATTTTTTTCTCGGTGAAGGTACGGACAAGCCGTGCCTACATTTCCGTGCCAATTTCGCGCGTTTTTTGTTAGAGATGAAAAGTTTATACGAAGTTATTGGTCATCAAAGTTAAGAATAATGAAAGTTAATTAGTTTATTTTGAATAAATCAATAATTAAAATAACAGCTTCAAAGTATTTTAAAGTGAGTTTTAAAACCCATATAACTTTTTTGAGCCGTAACAAAATAAAATAAGCGGTTGATAATTCTGAAAATGTAGTTATAATTTTTTTTAAATTTTAAAAAGTCTATATTATTTTAAATAATAACATAACCATACATCATGAGATATGATGTACTCCCTCCATCCCAAAAAAGTCTGTCACATTTCGAAAAAATTGCGTCCCTTAAAGTCCGTCTTATTTATATTAAAAAACTACTTTTACCCCTTACTTTTTCATAACCTACCTATCACATCATACCTTTTTCCTAATAATCTACCCATCACATCCTACTTTTACCCATCACATCAAGGGTATTTTTGGAAAGTCTACACCAAAATATCCCTCCTTATTTTATTACTTTAGTTAAAAGGGAACAAACTTTTTGGGACGGAGAGAGTATTTGGTTAACGTGGTATATTTAGTGTTTTAGCGGGTTTGGTTATCACTACCCTTAATAAAATCTCTTATGACCCCAGGGGGTTTATCGGGGATTAGAAGAAATAGGAACCATCAATTTTACGAACAGAATAGCATAGTGGCCACCAATTTTTTTAAAATGAATACGGAGTACTCGGTAGAATTTAAGAACACAATCATGAAAAGGCCAAGTAAAATGGTCACCATTATTCATACTAATTCAAGTTACAGAAATATCACCAATATCACTTAAATTAGATTAAACCATACTAACAAGAGGTTCGTTCATTACGAAAATACAATAATAAAATGCGACTAATTAAAAACAGCACTAATAATATGATGTGGTACAGTTGTAAGGACATGGATACGTGTCAATTACATCTACCACTCTTCTGTCAAAGTACCAATCTCTGAATACTTCAGCATAAGTCTGATTATAAAAACAAAACAAAACAAATGTTAACTAAATTCAAGTCAATCATTCCATGTGAATTTTAATGAATTCAATATTTGGTTTGATCATATGTTTGGGGAAATATATACTCCCTCCCTTCCACAAAACCCTTCCGGTTTTTGACTTTGGAGAAAAATAAGGAAAGTATAATTTTGGTTGACTTTCCAATTTTGCCCCTGATGTGATGGGAAAAAGTAAGATGTGATAGTTTGGTTATTAGTGATAAAGTATGATATGATAGGTAGGGTATGAAAAAGTAGGGGTAAAAGTGGTCTTTCAATAGAAAGTGGAAGTGTTTTGTGGAAAGCAAAAAAAAAGAAAGAGGAAGGATTTTGTGGAACGGAGGGAGTAATATTGTTGAAATATTGGAATAATAATATTGCTCTCTTGAATTATGAAGTACATGATAGAGTATATATAGGAGAGACTCCTAACACAACTAGGAATATAGAATAGAAACTAACTAACATACAACATCTACCACAAATAGGATTAGGAAGCTGACTAATAATGAAACACTACCACAACCAATACTACCACAAGTAATACTATTATTATTGTCTAACA